TACGTACTGCGACCATTGAGGATTCTATAGCTCTTGACATCAAACAACGTGTCGATAATGACAAGTTTAAGGTGGAGGGAGATCTTCTATATTTTGAGGAGCGGTTGTATATCCCAAAAGGACCAACTCGACTCCAAGTACTTCAATCTCGCCACGACTTTCGAGCTGCGGGACATTTTGGATTCAACAAGACTTTGGAGCTCATTTCACGAGATTTTTGGTGGCCCCAAATGTGGAAGGATGTGAAGGAATTTGTCCTTTCTTGTGATGTTTGTTCAAGATCCAAGATCCCTCGACATCGTCCGTATGGACTTCTCCAGCCATTGCCTATTTCGCACCGACCATGGTCTTCAGTTTCTATGGACTTCATTACGGACCTACCGCCATCGAGTTCATTTGACAGCATCTTTGTTGTGGTGGATCGATTTACAAAGATGGCGCATTTCGTGCCTTGCAAGAAAACATCGTCAAGTGAAGACACCGCAAGACTCTTTCTTGATAACATATATCGTTATCATAGCCTACCAGATGATATCGTGTCGGATCGAGGTACTCAGTTTGTATCCAAGTTTTGGAGGTCCCTCTTTGAGATATTGAAGGTGGATATTAAGCTCTCTTCGGCTTTTCATCCTCAAACTGACGGTCAAACGGAGAGGGTGAATCAAGTTTTGGAGCAATATTTACGATGCAGCATCAACTATCAACAAGATGATTGGACTACATATCTACCGCTTGCTGAGTTCGCATACAACAACACTCTTCATGCGTCAACTCAACAAACACCATTCTTCTCCAACTACGGATACCACCCCAAGCTCGATTTATTGAGTTCTTCAGCAAATAACAACCCAGCAGCTGAAGGATTTGTGAAGCAACTATCGGAGCTTCAAGCGACGTTGAAGCTTCAATTGCAATCTGCCCAAGAGAGTTACAAGGCATCTGCAGATAAATATCGAAATGAGGCGCCTACTTTTAAAGTTGGAAGTAAAGTATGGCTTCTTCGACGGAATATCAAGACCAAGCGGCCATGTGACAAATTGGACTATCGGAGATTAGGGCCATTTGTTATCGGGAAGCAGATCAATCCGGTGGCATATCGTTTGGAGTTACCAGCTACTATGAAGGTACATCCAGTCTTTCACGTGTCTTTGTTGGAACCTTATCGAGAGTCAACTTTTCCCCAAAGAGTACAAAGTCCGCCACCAAGTATCGAAATTGAAAACCATGAGGAATACGAGGTGGAAAAGGTACTAGATTCACGGCATAATAGAAGAAAATTGGAGTATTTAGTGCATTGGAGTGGATACGACATCAATGAACGAACGTGGGAGCGTGCCGAAAATCTTGCCAATGCACCAAAAAAGGTACAAGAATTTCATCAACGATATCCTCATAAACCTAAGCCGATTCAACGATAGCTTCTTGCTGAAGCTTGCTCATCAAGTAGCATAAAAAGGGGGGAGGGCACCTCCAAAACCCATAGTTCGATAGTGTAGAACTTTGTTAGCAATTATAGTTTGCTCTCATCATTTTAGCCTTTGGACATGGATAGTCAAGATACTACACTTCTTATGTCATCTCAAGCGACTAGCTCACGAAGACGACCGCGAGATGAAGAACCGCCTGCACCACGACGACGTCGGAGGATACCGAGCAACAGATCGCTAGTAATTGTATTTGAGGTCGAGCCTGCCTACGACGGTCAGCCAGAAGGTGTGTTTGGAGGACAGTTTCACAATGAAGACACAGAAGTTCACGCTTGGTCAGAGGTTGAAGGTGTTGGTCACTACCGTTGGCTCCAAGGGCCGATGAATCATTTGCCTCGCGAACAACAATTGGAATTCATAGCGGATGTGATGCGACAGATTTTCATTTTCTTGCTTTGGTATTGACTGATAACAACATTGCTTCTCGGAGACCTTGAAGTTAGAAGAGGAGGTGATGTCATGGACATACATTGGAAGATTCTTCGAATATTCTTCTAGAATATTCTCTAAAGATTCTCTAAAGATTCCTTTAGAAGGTTCTAGAAGATTCTTAGAATATTCCCTAAGATCCTCTTAGAAGGTTCTAGAATATTCTTAGAAGGTTCTAGAATATTCTGATAGATTCTAGAAAGTTGCTCGAGAAGTTTCCTAATTAGTAGAAGTTGTTGGAGAAGCGTCCTAGTTAGCGGAAGTAGCTAAAGAAGCTTCCTATTCAGTAGTATATATAGGAGTCGAGGCTGAAGGGTTCTTCAGTCTCGACAACACATCTCTTGGAGTTCTAGCTCACCTTTCTGGTGTTGTTCTTGTACTCATCTGTTTAATCTAGTTCTGCCACTTCTTCTTGAACTTCTTGTTAGATTTCAAGTCTGTATTTTGTGTCCGTGACAATTGGACATGACCTTCGACCAATAGGAATGAAGTTTCCCATTCCTTGCCTTCATTCAACCATGCCTTGCTTTCATTCCTTCCAACAAGCCTCATATTAGTTAAGATTTTCTTCTTTAGGCCCCAAACTTCTCTTAAGCTTTATATTAAATATCTAAATCCTGTATAATATAAACACTATAATCAAAATAGATAAATCTCCAAATAAATTTCCTTATATCAATTCTCTTTAAATTTATTTACTAACCACTCTGATCTACATCAAGACTTACATACATATTATATGTTTTAATTAATTTTTACATACTATAAGCAAATACAATATGACAACGTAGCCCCTAATTAGATAGTATATATAGAAACAAGAGTGAAGCCTTCTTCACTCTTGTCAACTCCTTTCTTGCTTCCAGTCTAGTTTCAAGGGTCTCTAGTTTTCTTGGCTTTTGGCAATAGCCATTCCAGTTTCTTTCTTAATATATATACCAAGTTATTTCTATTTTGTCATCTTTCTTTGAGAGAAGTCTCACTTGTTCAATTGTCTTTATCATGTTCTTGTCCTTGACAATAAGTACTTTATAACATATTCTTATTAGTTTTTAAAATCTATCAATTTTATAAAAAAAATAAAATAAAAAATAGACATATTATTGTGAAATATGCTAAATTACATTAAATTCTATAAGTAATTTTTTTCTAAATTTGAAATTTTAATACCAATTATTAATATTAATATAATTTATTCAAATATAACTATATATTTGAATTATTAATGTTAAAATTATATTAATATTAAAATAACTAATATAACTTAATTTTTATATTTTTAATTAATATTATTTAATTTTTTTTAAAATTTGACAACATTAATATTAGTAGTAATAACTCATTTTTTTATATTTTTTATTTATCGTATAAACTAAATTCTTTTAATAATTAAATATAGTATTGCCATCTTTAATCAATGTTTTTTATTCTTTATATTCATATTTTAATTCTAATAGAGCTTGTTCTATTGCAAGATTTTATACTAATTATTATTACTTTGTACCATTGTACTTAATAGTTGAGAAGGTTTAATACCTACATGTTTAATAGCATTTAGTACAAAAGAACTAAAGTTATTAAGCATTCTATATTTTTCCTAAATACAAATTAGATTTTTGTAAAGACAAAAATTAAATATATTTTCTATAGAATTAAAAAGCCATAATATAACTATCTAAAATAATTTAATAAAAAATAACTAAAATATTAAATCTTAAGTAATAAGAAAAAATAAGATTGTACAAATTCTATCAATAAAATATCTTATTACTCAAACTAAAAGATTAAATATATATATATATATATATATATTTAAAATTTATTTATTTATTTATTTATTATTACTACTATTACCTTAAAAAGATAGAACTTAGAATTTATCATTTTTCTTTTTATTCTTGCTATTAAAAGATTAGATTATTTTTTAAAAAATATATTGTAGCTTTGATACATAAAAAAATGATATTAAAATCATTTTCTAATATCAATGATATGAAATTAGATGGACTTTTGATTAGACAATCTATTCACATAAAAATAAATAATAATTTAAAAAGTTAATAAGTAATATAGATAAAAAATAAAGTTTAGAATGATTATTTTTATATACAAAGAAATTAGATATTCTTAAACAAAGACTACAATACTAAACAAATATTAACAAGACTAAAATTGGCGTTGAAAAAAATCCATGTGGAAATTTTCCAAATGTCACAAGACTTGTAAAATGAACATTAAAATTTCAATATGCTTTTATAAGAACACCTTATGACACAAAAATTCTAAAAAGGATATCTATGGCCATGAGTCTTATCTTGTAGAATCTACAGGTTTAATGTAGATTCCATTGTAATAAAACAAGGAGCTTATAAGAAATACAGACATCTAATGGAGCAAACATTCTAATTATTAAATTCAATTAGGATAACTTTGATTAATATAAATTCAAAATTAGATAATGTGCTAATGTTAGATTGCACTACATGACTTTGAAGTGCAATAAGTTGACTTTTCAGTCAATCTTGGTTAGTTGATTAAAGATTGTATTATTGATATAAGATTGTTGACTCGATACTGTAAAAAATCATTCTGCCTTTTTTTTTTTCTTTCTTTTTATTTATTTATTTATTTTTATTTTTTTTACCAAAACAATCTTCAAACGCAGAATCCATAAAAACATTTTCTCAGAGCCTTTAACAGTTTCCAATATATTACATTTACAACAACTACCAACAACTCTAAAATTTAGTCATTGTAAAAGTCATAATACATCTTCAAATGTACTGTTGTTTACACATGACTAGTCATTACATAATGTTAGAATATGTGTAAAATTAAAGTGTTACCGCATGACTAGTAATCCTTATTTGACGTATTTCTACATATTTTACAGTTTTTGATTCCAATTAGAACAGATTTTATAAAGCTAGTAATCACTTATTTTCAGAAATTCATCTTTAAAAAGTGGTACTTGAAGGCGTTATTTAAAAACACTCAGTAAACTGACAGTACAATCGCTCATAATTTTTTGGTAATTTTATCTCTATGTGAAGAAAATAGCTAATTTTTCAATGCAACTTTTAGTTATTTAATAAGAAAGTACAGATGATTATGTTATTTTTATTTTTATCCAAAACAATACATTAAATATGCGTATTGCATATGAGTTCACTTACACCCAAATTTTCACTTTTTCCGGCTCTTCTGCTCTGGAAGACAGGTTTGCACTATAATATTTTACAACCCAATGCTTAAATGGAAAAAAGTAAAATAGGTTTCGGAAAACCTTTTGGCTGTTTTAGCCATCCTAAACCCTCTGCATCTGGGTCAATGCCGTTTCATTCTGCAGCCGCTCAGGTCGTTTATAGTCGCAGAAAATGGTAAGTATTGAACGTCAGAATTGAATTCGTTTACTTTCAAAAATTGAGCACAGAGGCGCACCAATCGATATCATCGATATCATCGCTTCATACGGGTTATACGACATGCAATCACCAAAATGAGTAAGCGGAATTCTGTGCCGTCTTTCTGTGCAGAGGAGGAAAAAACAGAGGCAGGGTGTAAGTACGATTTTTTCAAAACTTTACAGCAAATAGAAGAACAATTAGATGTATGAAATAGCTACTATCGAATAGGAGGTTGCATTTGAAGTTCACCAGCAGAAATGGCGGAAAGTTGATTGCCAGATTGAACTTTCGACACTAATCTGGTGCAGGAAATCCAACGTTTTAACTGTAATTTGGCGATCGCGACTCTGAAGATCTCAATCTTCAAGCTCCGCGACTTTCCTCAAAATTTCAGCCTTCTTGTCTTCCTCTTGGTTCACTTCCTTCACTATCACTGTGATTTTACTGCGGGCTCGAACTAACTTTGTTTCCATTTTCTTAATGAGAAGACAAAGATTCGTGTAGCCTGTCTCCTCGTGCAAGGCTTTGATCCTGTGGGTAAGCTCTAGTTCCAACATGTTTGTGGAGACTTTCTTGTCGTGGTAAGGGCAATTCGGGCTAGACAACATTGAATCAGTCTGCTGGTATTCGTGCTTTTCTTCCCTTAAGACCGGAAATTTTACTGCTGGTTCCTCCCTGCGGTGCAATGCAATGTCAAAAACTGGTTACATACTCTAGTGTCATCGTTTGCATGCAAGATGTCTTACTTTGACACAGGTGTAAGCGCAAATTGACTGGGGATCATTCATTTAAGGGATCTAGGATGCAAATTCTCCATTTCTCAACATCGAATGAAGTGACTAGGGTTCGTACGGAAGCCTTTCTCACCCAAAAACGTGCTCAAGATAGGTTTTGCCATGGATGAGACCACCGTCAAGTGAAACAGCTCCAGTTGTATGGAACTGCTGAGCAGCAAGCATGTGCTCCTTAGTATCATAGACTTGAAGATAAGAAAACAGCTGGAAAAACAGCGATTCGCGTAAGCTGTGCTTGGCTGAAGTGGCATAGCATTCAAGTTGTTGTGGATTAAAACGGAGCAGGTTGACTGCATAGCCAATGTATCCCTTCGGACATGGTGCATCCCTAGGCCATGGATCCGGAATGAGCAGTAGTTTTTGGGGATGGCCTTCGTTCACACTTGGTAACCCGTCTTTTCGCTTGTAAAAACTGAGAGCATAAATTTGAGGTCAATTAGGGTACACTACACATCTAGAAGGCTGTTGTTATGTGACGCGTAAAGAAATTTCAGCACTGCAAGTCAGTGATTATTCACCTAGCTTCATTCAGAACGAGAGCGCGGAAGGTGCCATTAATTCTTCTGTTTCTGCTGCGAGCAAATGCATGCAATGTCAAGTCGTCTACCATAGACGATTGCGACTCTAGCTTTTCCAGGTATTTCAAACCCTCCTCTGACCTGCAAACAATCATCAACATTTTCTCTATCCCCAGGAAGTCCACCAGGGCACTTGGGGAAGAGATCGATCTTTGTTAGAAAATTCATACTTGGTGCAAAACTGTACGTTTCGCTTGAAAATCGAAGGTCGCGGTCGATGTACTTACCGGTTAAGAATATCATTGTCCACGCAAGCAAGGAGGGCCACTATGCCCAAAATGTCGCTGCCAGGACCTCCTGCAGCGAAAACATTGCCATTGTTCACAACAGCTTCCAGAAGAACGCTGGCTGCGTGACTTCCAGGAGGATCACCTTGCTTCTGAAGAAGTTCGATCACTTGGGATGCCGTGTTATTGTTTTGGGAGCTTGGACATAACGCTTTGGCATCTTTTTGTACTTCAGCTGCCTTAGATACGGACTCGAATGTCTTTAGCTCCACTAGACCAGCGCCATGTTATTCAGAAGCTCATCTTTCAGATTAGTTAAGTGCAAACATGTAGTATTTACCAACCAAGTGAACTGCTAGAGATAGTGAAAATCATCTACTAAGTTATTAACAATAATCCGTCATTTGGAATTATAATAAGGAATGAAATTTATTTACATACTCTTTGAGCATCTACGAAATAAATGTTAGCATAAACGGTTGCAAGTCGAATGGACGACAAATGATACCAAATAATTTGTGCCATATTCCCTAATATACCTTTCCAAAGAGCTTCCATATCATCAACCTCCATTTTCGTGCGTTTAAGAATACCAAGCTCCTCTTCAGCTCTTTTCACTTTTCTTCCTTGTTCTCGTAATTTCCTTTGCATTTTCTGTGAAATTGAATATTTTCTTAGAATTTTCTGTGAAACTCAGGTAATCTATGACACATCTTCGTCACCTCATCATCCTGTAGAATACACGAAACAACGACAAGAATTTACTCTGTTCGTTAACAGTTCAAGAATCTAGAGCCAAGCTACTGACACGATTTTGAAGAGATGTTCTATCGCATGGTAAATCCTAACTTTTCTTACCGTGTTACGATCAATGAAATCTTTTAGCTGTCTCTCATACTCTTCACGTTGTGTAGAGGTTTCACGCAAAGGATAACTTTCAATTTTCTCATCTATTTCCTTCTTCACGTTCCAATTCAGCTGCAATTGTTGTGGAAGTGACATGAGCAAGCATGGTTGATTTGGTGGTGTTGCCGGAATGAGGTGATTGTCACTAGGCAACTTAGAAACAACCTGTACCTGCGATTCCGAAAAAACATTAAATTCATTCAAACTTATAAATCTTGCAAGCTCCAAAAAAACCTTCGGTTGCTAAGGAATCCTCTGTAATCGTAATTCAAAAGTGAGGATCTTAACAAGTTTTTTACATAATATACCATCCACAATTTCGGTACCAACTTTTGATTTGTGGAGACACCTAATTTCTCCTCAAAATCTGCTCCCGATGTGCAGCTTCGTTTAGTCGTTCAGACAAATATTTATCATTTCAATCGTGGAAAGGAACCAAACATATTTCTCGCAATCAGCTTTTTCTAGAGTATGCGGTTAAATCCACTTGCCTCAAGAGCACAGAAGAGCTCTGGATGAACAGCATGTGCAACTCGACCGTACCAACTTCCTGGAACGAGGGGTAAATTGATAGGTGGCAGTGAGCAAACACCACAGACAAGAGGGATGGACAATTTAGAGTTCCAGTCGACGGTTAGATAGTGGAGAGACCCATCCATTTTGGTATCTACATTTCCATCCTCGTCAATAACTTGAACCTTCAATCCCTCAAGCTGGCTGCCAGTGTATGCTTCTTCCGGCTCCTGCAATGATATCGTAGGCCGAAATTTTTGTCTTTATCACTGATCAAACTGGTGTCGGCATTAATTACATAGTAGATTCAACACGGATATGAGATAAAATTATGTTACGAGTATGGTGTAGAATTCAGTTCACCTTCAAGATGCGTAGAGATCTGTAGACGGTGTGAAAATTCAGCGCAAGCAGAGATCTCCCTTTATCTGATTGAACAGTTATCGTACCTGAAATGCACAGGAAACACATCAATCATGAGTTCTTAGTAATACCTTAGTATTTAGATCGTGTCGTTATTTGTTCCGTTCAATTTTCTATCGGTTGCAGGATCCTCCGTATGAACGTAAACATCACATTTGAAGGATTTTGATTTGATGATTCTCTTTGTAAAGAATCGGACCACCTCGTGAATTGTATTCTGCGGTAACTTTCAGAAGACCTCCGAGATGGATACATCCATTCTCAACAACCTGTCTCAAGCATCAGTAAAACATTATCAATTTGGTGAGAGATGTATCCTACACATGCACTTTGGAAGTTAAACATGTCTGAAGTACGAAATCGGCTTGAAGTGATCTCTAAAAGATACAACAGCATCTATGGAATATGAAGCCTATATCACCTGTCTTCTTGAACCTCGTTTGTCTACAAGCTGGAGGCCCTCTAAGCCAACACGGATCTCACTTCCATTTTCTACCACGTTTTTGAAGTCATCAAATGCCTGAGCACCACAGGAGACATAAAAAACATGTCTGTATCAAACGACTCATGAAAATTCGAAATGATGGACTTTTGAGTGTGCAAGCGTGGGGCGTATGAGGGCAGACTCATTAAAACCTGTATGACGAACTTCTCGATCATCTGGCCAGGCCGTAAGCAATTATCTAGGCGGTCACATTCGGTCAGCGCAACTGATGCTGGTTCACCTGGTAAAACTGGAATTGAGGATCAACGGTTGTCGTAAGTAAAATTAACTCATCAATATGTTGCAATGTAGCATATTATTCAATGAGTTCCAAATATTGAGAAATCTTACAGCTTACCCGTTAATATGTACGAAGCGACAGGGAAGTTGTGGATCAAAATCCACAACTGTGCAGCGTAAGTTGTGGCTATCTGTGCCAAGCAACCACCTCCGATCTCTATATCCTGTAGAGGAAGCATGTTGGTGTTTATAAAAGAGGAACCATTAATATGTTAAGTAAACAGCAACATGATGATGTAAAATTGACTAGTACCTAAGTGTTCAGAAGGATCAGAGTGAACAGTTAAATGCTTCACCTTCAGCTCGAGGGTAGCATTGTTGGCGCTTAAACTGATGCACTCTCTGGGTATCGCAACAGAAAGCTCAAGGAACTCACCATCCAACTGACCCACTTTGAAATGCAGTTCTTCAGGGACATTTGAGAGCGCTACCCGATTGTTGTACACATCAAAACCAGAAAGATACAAGGGGCTTTCAATTACCTTCCCGATCCTGTGTCAAAGACAAGTGATAATATAATCATTGTTCATGATATACTTGGTGTCATTTTTCAGCGGTAGAAAATTCTCTTGAAGCGTATTTCGAACTTTCATACGTACCTAGTTACAATGTTCTTAAGTTTCCAGTGGTTAGGATGCTTAAAGCAGGCATCAGGGTGGGAGCACAACTGCCAATGCTCCACTTCTTCACATGCTGAAACATTTATTCGTGCCACTGCTGGTGCCACATTTCTGTGCTTCTCACCGACCACTGAAAAGGCTAGCAAATAAGTTCCCATCGTTGTGAATAATGTGTTGAGGTCGGTTCCATTGGTAACGAACGAGTAGAGGCCCTGCACACCTTTCCGCACACATGGCTTGGTCGTGCAATTGTACACTGTCTTTGACGTTGTTACCTGCTCCTCTGTCAAGGCATCTTCATCAGAGATATATTTATTGATGAATCTTACTTCGAGATTCAGTTCCATAACTCCAAAAACGATTGATCTTTGCTCAATCGAGCATGAAGTCTCATTTTTGGAGTTAGCTCTTGCACAGCTTCTTGGTCTCACTACTGCTAAAATCTCTTTTGGGAGCTGGAATCCTGCTTCAACTGATGAGTTGATTGGAATAACCTGCAAAAACATGCCCCATAACATTTCAGCCTTTTAGATCAGCTACATTTACCAGTACTTTAATATTCCTCCAATCGTCCCCGACAACCGTTAATTTGATTCTTTTCAATGTGCCGTGATGCAAGGAAGATTAACTATTCGGTTCTCAAAGATGCATGTGAAACTAAGAAGCAGCAAACTATGGAAAGAATGTTTACTCCGTTTAATCCGAATTCGTGCATTTCTATTTCATTAAGAAGCTCCACGTATGCGGGATAGTCACCAAAAAGTTCGCTCTCGTATCTTGACCATGTGATTTCATCAATTTCTTGGAACTGCAATCACACCAACGAACCTACAGATGTGCATCATTCGAACTAGTCATATGCAAGAGATTACCTAATAATTTAACACCTCAAGTGTTGAATGATCCACGAAATATTATGCGGAAATGACTAAGGATTGAACAAAAAATCTTGAAGTTAATTAAAATATGAAGGAATGTCTTTCGCGCGTCAGAGAAGAGGACAACCTTCGTTGCGAAGGATTCGTCAAGAGAGAACGCTTTTGACTCCCTCAGGTAAAAAGTTGGATCTACACCATCCACAAGTGTGCTTCCTTGATCCTTGGACACATAGATCGGGCGACAAATGATGTGTGCTGATCCTGCAGCGTTTTCATGTTTGTGACGTTTTAGTCATGTAGATTATTTTTATGCAGTAATGTGGTTGACCTGCATATAATTGATTAGAAGTGTTCTATGTTAACGAAGTAGGACTTAAGATGTGCTAGGGTAAATACCAGAGGTCCCTTGAGAATCCGTCAACACGAAGCACTCAAGAGTAAAGAAAGGCTGTGGGGCATTATTTTCCACCAGCTTCAGTCTGATTGGCCCTCGGTTAGGATCTCTGGTGTTGAGTTCTAAGTTCTGTATCTTCATACTCCATGCCACTTGAAATACTGCATCCAAACAACTTGCATAAGATGCTAAATCCCATGTATTATTTTTTTAAAACAATTACGAAGGATTACAGAAGAGAAATTCTACTGTTCTTTTAAATATGTACCTGGATATTTAATGCCCAGTTCGACCTTGTTATGAGGTTTGGTGATACAAGTGTGTTGAATTTGTTTGCTCTGGTCGTTTCTGGCTTCGTCCGTGTCATACTTTCGATTGCAATCTTGAATCCAATTGTGGTATTCCAAACCCAGAAGTTGTGGTGTCAGAGGCCACCCTTGTCCTTGGATACTTACGTCCACTTTAACCCCTACCCATTGGATATGCCCACCAGCTCAAAATCAGTCAGAGTCTCTTGAATATGAAATAAGAATTAATACTAAAAGACTTTGGCACCTTACTTAGGGATTCGTCGCTATCCTGCGACAACATGCAGGACATCAACGACTTGGTGAAGCAATGGTCAGCTACTAACGACACCTGCACATCGAAATCCTGAATTAACTTTGTTGTAATATGTTTCGGAGAATTTCTAATTAGTTCTCTACGCAAAGCACTTCAGTAAATATCACAGTTACAAAATCCAGTTAGGATTGGCTGTTATCATCATCTTCTCACCTTTGAAGGTGTTGTAAGGAATCCGCTGTCTAAATCTGCAACAAACAACATAAATTCGTCAAACAATCGAAGAATTTTTCTGGCCAGTCACAATTATTTCAATAGCGTTTAGAAATTAAACAGCGACGTATCAAAATTAAGAATTTTTCTCACCAATGAAGGCGATTACTCGATTGTAGCACTGCTGCTGCTGTAAGGTAAGGTCTTTGCAACCTTCCAAAAAGGAGATAGTTTTCTGCTTACACCAATTGACAACGTAATCAGAAATTATCCTTTCAGGTACTTTCATGGTCAATCACATCCAATTTTAAGTGCAATATACATTGATGTAACCGCAAACGTACCCAGTTTTCCTCCAGTAATAGCCTTCCTCGCCATCGAACTGTCACACGTGAGAATCTTTGGAGTTTGTATGTCTCTATGGCGATTTTCGGATTGTCCTCATACAACCTTCGTCTCAACTCGCTCATTGATTCTTTTCCCTAACAACCATCGAAAAAACTCAAAAAAGCTCAGGAGAAAGCTAAATTCTAGCACGGAATACGATATCCACACAACTACAGAGGCATTCTAGTCCGAATCCCATCAAACAGAACATTCAGTACCATGATGAGGGGGAAGTAATGAAATGTAATTGTCGCATTCCCTTTGCGACCTTCTGCACCATGCTCACAACATTCCGCTTTAGTGAGACATGGAATCAATGTAGCTATTGGCAGTTTTACCTTGCGTTAATGACACAATAAACTTTAGCCAGCACCACTCCTTGAGAAGCTTGATGAGTAACCAAAGAAGTCGGTCTCAAAGATGATACAATCTAAAGTTCTAAGAATAGAACGCACCTGCGCCGTCTGTAAGATGCATGTGTATTACGAAAGGTTTTCGGTCTCCTGAGAGTGATTTCGCAATTGCCGTCTGACCCCAATGTATCGTTGCGAGGTTCAATCCCATTGCCTGAATGAGGTCCCGTGTACCCAGTTATGCTAAGGTCGTTTCAGACTAAAATTCTAATTAAACTACATGCTTGCAAATGAGTTTCTGCAAGTATGGAATCCGTGAAGATTGATTAGCTCACCATAAAAGTAACTGGTTTTGCAAGTGACCCACGGCTATCATATTCACAACTTTCCTGTTCACCACAATGACATAAGTCTTCAGAAAGTGCGCGGAGGTATTTCGACGGAAATCGATGTATTCTTGTCGGAGACAGAGCAACGTAGTCTAGACGCGTGTGCATTTGTCGGAACAATGTGCAAATGTTCAGCATCATTTTAAAGAACTATGTAAAGCTTGGTTTTTCATTGAGAACTAACCTGAATGAGTGGAAAGAAAAAATCTTTGAGTTTCCGACGCAGCTCTTCTATGTTCCATTGCATAACTTCCAGTCTTAAGTCAGTGATCTCCACCTAAAACCCAATCCGTGTTGTGTGAAGGTTTAAGACTTTGTGTAATTGGATAATACGCAAAAGCTTGTTCATCACGATGTTAAGATGGTTCAACGCACCTTTCTGAAGCTCCCATGCGGCGAATTGTTTTCCTCTTCCATGGTTCCACTACGAACCTCACCAATTCTCTAAAATACAAATCACCCCTCATCAGAACAAACAGATTGTGATAATCAGGAAGCAGCTATCAATCTTGCCAACTCGAACTGAAGAATTCATTACATTTCAACTTTGGAATTTAAGGATTTTATTCAAATGTTCCATCCTATTGTGGGTCTACTAATAAGTCAGGTTTCTAAGTGAGGAGCCCAGAAAATCATCTATAATGAAGATCCCAGGCGACGGTTCAAGAGGAATTCAAGGATCATCGTCCATCTCTAACCTTCCCAATTGTGAGACTTCTTGCACCATCCCACGTGCTTCTACTGAGGTATAAAGTAGACACGTCTTCCAAAGGTTTTGTTCGAGAAGAGATTGTAATGCTCCTGCTCGAAAGAAGGACTGCTATCATGAGTAAGCCTCGTGTGTGCGAGAGCAGGGAAAATCAAAGAAATGAAAACACAAAAACAGAATCAAAGAATCAGAACAATAAATTGCGAACATAAGAACATTGACAAAAAAATGTAAATACAAAGATCAATAAAAGCGGCGAGATTTAACTCTTACCCCCCAAGATATAAACCAGCACTGATGGCCCCATAATTAGCGCTGCTCAAGCCTTGCTGCAGGGGTAGGAGAAGCATCTCAGACATCAAGCTACATATAGCCTTGAATAATCAAAGTTACCGCAGCTACAATTAGCCCCAAATTCATCTGAGTTTATCCCGGAGAATGCAACTATTGTAGGAAGAATGAAATCAACTGACAGGGAAGAGACTATCAGTACATTGAGATTCTGACAACGTCCTTGTGATTCCAACTTCTGGCTGCTGGAAGCTCCCCTGCAAGAACATCTTTGATGTGTGAAGCCAATCTTCATTCAATTACAATGTTAAGTTTCTCAGGAGAAAATTAAGAGAATATGAAAGACAGATGCAGATCTAGATCGCAACATACCAACCAGAGATGGAAATGCTGTCCAAGCCTTTGCTAGTGTCGAAGATGATGATCTTCCCCTGCTTCTGATCCAATTCAACACTGCACCCCACCACCACACTCGTGATTAGAATTCGTATTGCTAAGAGTGCCGTATTGATTTCGGTGTTGTGTCCATCGCCAAGGACAAGATCATGCATGAGCCTCAGTATAAAATAATTCACTCTCAGCCACATGCTATTATAACCTGATGAGTGAAAGCTTCTCCGAGCTTAATTTCGAAACTTCCTCTAGTGCATCATCCTGATGAACCGACAGCAGGATCAGAAAGATTTCGGAGAGCTTTGACAGAAACTAATTCCTACGAACGGATCCCCAGGTCTACTATGTTTTGACCAAAAGAAAAAGTAGAAGAGTGAAGAGTGTTGGATAATAATAATTAAAAATTCATAAATCATGCAATAAAAGAGGGGGGACCAACACAAATTATTTCCTCCTCAAGTCAAAAAACATGGATTCTCTCACCATCAGATAAGCTAGAGCTGAGAAGGGAGTATAATTTGGGCAGATCACAGTTTGAACAAGTTGGTCTACTGCTTTGGTATCAGCACAATGATCGTCGTGCAACCCAAGCCCCTGCTTCAGAAACAAGTTCTTTTGTGTTAAATTCCATACAGTTTTAATTACTCAAAGTACTGTGCCCTATTAAAACTATTACTATACTTGTGCATGGTGAACACTTCCGAAGACCCTATTCATCATGGGAGCCTCCGTTAACGAGATTGAGCAAGTGTAGCTCCACAACAGTTGTGAAGCATGGATGTAGCTAATTGAATTGCTTGACATCAACACCAAACCTCGAGAGGAGAGGGATTTTCGCCCTGTTCCTTCGACTCATTCTGCTCTTGTTGCTTCCTGATGATTTCGAACTCATTCTGCTTTTGCTGCTCTCGGATGATGTCCAACTCATTATGCTTTTGCTGCGCCTCTCTGATGAGGTCCAACCCTTTGTTCGTATTGATTCGTCTCCTTGCTAAAGCTTTCAGTGCATGAGAGACCTGAGGATGGGTACCAACGGCGGCGGAGGAGAAGAGCTTGCGTTTGAGGCCGGCAAACACTGTCGGCGACGTCTCCTCTTCGTGCATTTTCTGAAGGTTTCCTTGTCGACGCTGTGTGTCTCAACGATAAAGCTGTTTGGCATAAAATTCTCAAAATAAAGCTCTTATATAGTCCATATCACATAAAAGCTCTTCACTGGAATTAAATCACGTGAATTATCGACGTGTCTTTCATTTAGAATTAAATGACTGCCTCAAATAGTCTCATTCTGAAGATTAGTCGCTTTCTTAAAGAACCATCTTCCAATTGACAGTTTCTAGACTCACGTCGCCATTCCAAATACATCCTCAAGAGCATTGGCACACAATCCAAGAGGATTAAAATTTTCTAAAATGTAAAAATATTTAAAATAAACCAATTTTTTAAAAATCTCGCTACATTGAAAATTCAGCAACAAACTTTGAAAGAGTAATAAGTAAAACCTGAAGTACTGAAGTACGCTACCAAGTTCTACAAATTCTACAACAATGTCTCCATGCAACACTATAATTCTCCGCTTCACCTCCCTCCAAGCTGACCGATACACAACATACAGTCAAGAATTAAACGCCAGCATCACAACACACGAGGAATCCACAACCACAAATTCAAAAACGTCAAGCACGGACTCACCACAAAGCGAAGAAAATACTTCCACAAGACTGTATGAAGAGCGCTGAAACCACCAAAGATCCAGATAATTCCGCAGCACCGGAGCATGAAGGGTACCTGACACACAATTGGTGGAACAACGACCCCCATCTAATGCTCCTCAGAGAGGGAGGAGGAGGAGGGGCTTGAGGATGAATGAAGCTAATGGATGGATAGAGACATTCGTTTCTGGTTTGACATTAAATAGGTATGGGGGGGGAGAATCCAGAGAGCCTCCCTCTCTGCTCCTTCAATGCAGTCATTAAAGGATTCTTTTTGTAACAACATTTTAATTTTATAATTTTTTTCTGTGTACATGCAAATTGGCTTTGGCGTCTTCGGCATCGTTCCATGAGAGGGGGGCTCAATCCTCGATATGACATTCAAGGTGGCGGCTGCTCGTCCTCCGCCCCTATCATCTGCCCTCATACTTTCATCTTTTTCTCCTTTTTCATCCAGTCATTTTCGTGCATCCGTTCCGTTTTTCATCTATCGTTCCATTTTTCATTCGTTTTTCTTTTCATCGCTGCTCGTGATTGAATCTAGTGCCCACAACTGTAGCTGTTGCTTTTAATGTGCGCCAACACATCATTAGTTTTTTTCTTTTTTTTTTAATTTCTTGTAATAAAAGTAAAAATGATACTAGATATCTTAAATAAATAAATGAATGCATTCGAGTTAACATGTGGGTATTTAACAAGTTTTGGTAAGGACGACTGAAAGTGTCGCCTGTTGCTTTTCCACGAGACTGAAATTTAATGCAATTGTGACCTCATCTAGCAAGCCCATTATTTAGAATTTGGAAAATGAACTCTATTCTGTTTGGCTCCATCGCTACTTCTGCCGAATTAGAGGATTCAAAGTAACTGTCGACAATCTTTTTGAATTTAAATATATGTGAAATATTTGTTGTTGTTGGGGAAATGATTGGTTGTTGTTGGTAATTGGCTTCTGCAAATTGATCCAGAGCTTTCAATTTAGTGTTGTTCCCTCTCATCCGGTAAACAAACCTGCCAAAACTATTGCTAATCTGGCTGAATGTGCAAATTGGACGTTATGGGTTGAGATTGTTCATTCTTCACGTTCGTGAGTTTTTTCTACTGCTGATATGCACACCTCAAGAATCTGAGATTGAAATAGTCACTGTCTGATCTGTGTTGTGAATGTTCACATTTCTCTATTTCTTTAGTAGTCGAAGAGTGCGACGCTGCAAACATCCATATTGCTTTCTTATTTGTAATAAGTGAGATTCTTGAGCTTGATTAGTGGGTTAGTTACGCTGTAGCTTGTACAGATTCAATCAAAGCAAATTCTGGCTACAAGCTTTCCCTTAAGACGTCAAGAAATGCAAACAGTTCTGTGTGAACTTGTATCGTCAACTTTCTTGATGACCAGCTCCATGTCGCCTGGAGTTGTAGACTAGGTTGCGCACATGGAAACCACAGCTCTAATTGTGCGTTCATCATGAAATCCACATCTCGGTGATTGTTCGGATCCCCTCCTCATGGTGGATTGCACCTGGGTTTTATTCAGCTTGGGCCTTAGAAAGGACACCATACAACAAGATGCCCTCAATGCTTAATCAGGTGGCCTATTATCAGGTTGAGTGAGAGACTGTTGCGAGTGTAGGTGGGGTTCTTGTTGTTTCACTTCATGACTCGGGAATGGATATCATGCATTGTTTGCGAGTCAGAACACCTCGATCTAACTTTATGCCTAATCCAGTGAAAAAAGGCATGAAGTTAGATCAGGCTTTTAATTTAGTGTTGTTTCCAGCACAGCTCTGTGATTCATTAAAATGGTGGAGATTTGACAGCCCTAGGAGGTCGACCTCCGAGAAGCGGCCACTCAAGGCACGAAAATCAAGTTAACGTGACAACTTGTAATTGGCTGTCGTTTTCAAGAATCATAGTTCTAGCTTTTATAATCGATCAGAGTGGCAATCTAACAAACTTTTTGGATTCTGAAACAGACACCATTTGTAACCAAAATATCTTCACCAGTGATTGACCTGAAAACAAAATCAACCTGTTCTAACTCTATGCCATTTTCACTGGATTGGAGTCCATCTTTGTAGCATCTCTTCATCGTTTGCAAAATTTCAGGAAGAAATCTGCAAAGATTTGACATTCTTCCTGATTGCAAGCTTTGCACAGGGACACGAATAAGTACTAATCATTATCTTTGTCCTACTAATACTCACTATTCTACTGAACTTAATGAATGCATTTGCAGTTGTAATGAGTTGGTGAGGTCCGTTGAACATCAGTATTTTCTACTTCAGGGTCTTTAAGGCTCACTGTCACAACTTGTGAGTCTGGTACCCATTGACATGAGAGTATGACGATGCGCTTTGAGTTGAAGCTGGAGCCTTAGTGTATTTTCTTATGTTCGAAGCACACTCTACATTGTTGTATGAGAGAACATGACATTAAGACAGTAAAAACACATTCTAAAGTGGGGTAAAGGCAAAAAGCAAGTTCCAAAATGTACCCCAACAGAAACAATCAAGTTTCTATTATGAATATTAATTACTTGAGAAAAAATGTACTCATAATTGTACATGAAATAAAGTAATAACTTTGATTCATAACACCTTCTACTAATGGTTTTAAAGTTTGTCATTCTCTATAACATCTCAATAGCTAGTGGTTGCCTACCAACATGTGATTAATTGCAATTAAGCTCCTTGTTAGCTAATTGATCAGTGATTTCTAAACCTTGGACTTCAAAACTTAATATATAAGTCATTTCTTTGGTGATGAAATGTTTTAAAGATACTTTATTGGTGTCCAACCACCTATTTGTGGTATTTAAACATCCTAATCTATATTTTAAAGTTGTGATATTAAGAATACAATTAATATCTATTTTTTTATGAGTTTAATTTGATTCTATTCTTTATTAAGATCAACATGGTCAAAGGCAATTTTGAGGCTATTAATAATATAAGGTATTGTCACAGACATACATAAATTATCTAGATAAGAAGTATTAGATAGAAAATAATTATAGATAGATTTCTTATTATCTTGTGGAAAAGCTTCTTAAAAGCTTCATTATCCATATTTGACTTTATATGTGTTTGTAGTTGATTTGTAGGTTGAAAACTTGGCCAACAAATTGATTACGTAGCATATGTGTAGAAAACTTATATTAAAAGTTAGAGATATGTTAGAAGTCATATAAAATGCTATGTCAAAAATATATATTTATTGTAATTATTATCTAGATAATATGAATAGATAGAAATAAGTAAAAATAAATTTATTTCATGATATCTTCTAAGAAAGCTTCTTAGAAACTTTATAGATGTTATTTTGACTTTACATGTACTTATAGTTGATTGATAGATTAGAAACTTGATCAATAAGTTAACCATGTATAACACATATTGATAGCTTGTAAAACAAGCTAAATATATGGCACATTTATATAAAACTTGCCTTGTAAATTAAGATATGTATTATCTAAATTCAACATGTTTTGGAGGTCCTATAGAACATTATTATGTAGCTTCTAAATAGATAGTATATATAAAAATAAGAGTGAAGCTTTCTTCACTCTTATCAACTCTTTTCTTGCTTTTAATCTAGATTCAAGAAGTCTCTAGTTTTCTTATCTTTTGGCAATAGCCATTTTAGTTTCTTTTAAATATACATACTTCTTTATTATTATTATTTTTTTTTTTTTGAAAAAAATTCACTTATTTATTTGTTTTCATCAAGTTCTTGTCCTTAATAGATTATTAAGAGTATAATTATAATATCAAAGCTTAGTCTTTTTTTTTTTATTAAGAGTAGATTATCCCTTTTTCTTAATAAGACATAAGCATATTAGAAGTTATGGATTATCTTCTTTTAAAGTAATATTAATTTTTTGTTCTCAAGTTCTTTTTTTACTTGTCTTGAACAATATTAAACATCTCTTTTCTTCTAAGTATTATTATAGCAAAGCCTATTATAATGAAGATTGTAATGATACAAATGTAAAAAAAATTAAAAGAGTTAATACTTATAATTCATCAATTTAATTTACTATTATAAGAAAAGAAAAAAAAACAAACAAAAAATAGAGATATAAAGATGATTGAAGTTGCTTCAACATTTGCACCAAATCATATCTCTTCTTCTATGATAGAATACCATTCAATCATTAAAAAACAAAAAAATTCTTTACTTGAAATGTTTGATGGTACAAGATCAAAGTTTTGAAGATTCATCAATTATGTATAACTAGTAATTGAGCTTCAATTCTAAAGCCATTCAACTTCAAAATCATAAGTCAAGTTTATTGAAACTCTATTTTTTGGTTTTGTATTATTATAATTTTCATCTTTTCTTGAACAATGTGATCCAACATTGGAAAATTTAAAAGCTTTCTTTGCAAAGTTTTGATCTATTTATGGAGAATATGATTCAATTTATATTACAACAAATAAGATTTATATTTTGCAATAAGAAAATTAATCTATAATATTATATGCTTTATAATTTAGATAAATTATAATTGATATTAAGTGAAATGATGGTACACTCATTAGCCAATTTTTTCATAGATTACAATATGAGATAAAAAATTGATGCTTAATTTACTTGATCTTCAAACATTAAATCAAGTAATTTATTTTGCTATAAAATATGACAATTGGTTTTATTGAATTTTGGTCTAAAAATCACATAAAGAGATGCAATATTATTATAATTCAATAGCAATACTAACATCTTTTCAATACATACCTTCAAAAGTAGAGGATATGCAAATTGATTTGGTATATTTCAAACTTCTTACTAAGTAAGAAAAGACTCCTCGTTGTCAATAACAATTGTATTTATATTAAAAAAAAATCTTGTTGTCAAAAATGATTGTATTTATATTGTAGAAAATCAAAGCACATTACTTAATATTGTTAAAAGAAATGATACAATCATAAAATAAGAAGTACAATTATTAAAGAAGATAATATATTAAAAAAAAAATTGGTCCAACTACAATAGGAACCATGTAGTTAGAAACTTACACAATATCTAATAGAAGTCTTATTCTCTCTTTAGAACCTTTTCTTTGTTTTACAATAGATATTAGTTTAGG